ATAGATAGATAGATAGATAGATAGATAGATAGATAGATAGGCGATAAGAAGGATAATAGACAGACAGACAGATACACACACACACACACACACACACACACAGACAGACAGACAGACAGACAGACAGATAGATAGATAGATAGATAGATAGATAGATAGATAGATAGATAGATAGATAGATAGATAGATAGATAGATAGATAGATAGATAGATAGATAGATAGATAGATAGATAGATAGATAGATAGATAGATAGATAGATAGATAGATAGATAGATAGATAGATAGATAGATAGATAGATAGATAGATAGATAGATAGATAGATAGATAGATAGATAGATAGATAGATAGATAGATAGATAGATAGATAGATAGATAGATAGATAGATAGATAGATAGATAGATAGATAGACAGACAGATAATCGGACAGACAGACAGATAGACAGACAGAAAGAAAGATAGATAGATAGATAGATAGATAGATAGACAGACAGACAGACAGACAGACAGGCAGACAGGCAGGCAGGCAGGCAGGCAGATAGATAGATAGATAGATAGATAGATAGATAGATAGATAGATAGATAGATAGATAGATAGATAGATAGATAGATAGGTAGATAGATAGGTAGGTAGATAGAATGTTATGTGATCAACTATTTGAGTTAAGTTTGAGACAGAGTTTTAGTTGTTTGTTGTTAGCAACTGGTACTTCGGGGTCACAATGTCACATGTTGTGCAAATAACTCACGAGACAGTGTTGATTGCATTTGTTGGAAACTATTTGCAAGATTTACACTTTCACTGGAAACCACACTAGCAACTCCTTACAAGTGAGAAACAGTCACAGGAGGAGACCATTGACTTTGTCAGCGAAAAGCAGATGCTCATCCATAAATGATGAGTCACTGTAGACTCCACCACTGGGATTCAGCCCACTGTTTGGGCTGATACATCAAACATGCTTATGAGAAGAAAAAAATGGCACTACCTACAGCTTTGAAAAAAAGACAAAACTTCATGGCTCTAAACATGCAGACAGGGACTCACAGCACTGACCCTGTGTCTGAAGACTCACTAACTGTGGCATGAAAGTTGGTAGAAGAATTCTCTACTAGAGTTTTCAGTAATGGATCTCCAGCATCTGGTCATTGTGCCTTACATAGATCAAAGCATACGTAATCCTACAGCTGTTCCACTAAAGCTTCACTCAACTGGGTGTGTAGAACTAATCTGTATCAGGCCCTGGGTGTATGTGTGCAGTTTCACTGCCCAATGCCACCTGCCCAGTATTTCTATTTTAGTACAGCTCTGCCCTACAAGCAGAAAGTTAAATGTGACACACACAAACTCATACATATACGCATAATTGTCCATATGTTTGGAAACCAATGCCAACATACTAAATCATTCGCACACTGACCTACGGAGGAAAGAAAGAAAGAAACAGACAAATAGTTTTTAAATGCAATTTAAAATGTGCATTTAATATTATGTATGCATGTATTTTACTGGATTTTTTAAATAAAAAAATTATTTACTAACTCATTGTTTTATTTAACTAAATTTAAAATAATTAATTTGAAGTTTTAAATATGTTTTAATTTTAATTTTTACATTTTAAATATGGATATTCATTTATACATGATTTATTTCCATTTTTATGTTTATTATTAAACTAATATCTTATTTCCTCAATTTATTTTAAAATGTCACTTCTTTATTTGAAAGATTTCATTCATTCAGGCATTCATTCATTCGTTGTTTGATTGGTTGGTTTCAGTCTTTCAAGGTCAAGTCTAAGTCAGGTCAAGTCAAGTCACAATATTTGGAGAACATACTTCCCTGTTCAGACACAAGGTTTTAATTTGGAGTCTAAGTCAGTTTTGTTATTTGTGATTGAGATTCCATTTCTGCATCTCATAAATGTGATGAACCTTTACCCCATACACTAACCAAAACCTCACAGAATCAGAATCAAAATCAGAAAAAGCTTTATTGCCAGGTATGTAGTATGCAACCCAGGTATGTTAAATTAGTTTAACTTTAAGATCACACAAGTACAGCTAAACTTGTACACACGCACGCCCTCGCCAGAGGACGCAAGAAGCCCGTTTTCGTTGCTCCTGAACCGACTGATCACCGCGCGGTTCCCGTACACAGATCCCAAACACTAAACAGGTGGTCATACACCGCCACACAGCGCCCGCCGCGATGAAACGGAACGGGTACCGATCGTAACTTACACTGAGCCGCCAAGGTGCTGAACCAAAGATTATTAATGATCTGGACACCAGAGCACGGGGGCCTTTGATCCAGAGTTTCCCTTGGAGTCGGGAAGGTCTAAGGAGAGTTGGAGCTATGAAAGTGACGGTGTGTTTTGGAAGAACTCGGGTAGTGGTTCCGTGCGGAGATGGCAACATTAAAGTGCACTCGCTCGTCCAGCAGGCCGCGATGCGGTACCGGAGAGCGATCGCCAAGGTGAGATGCTGTTTCTCTGTATTATCTGATTGTGCTCTGGAAACATAGTTGCGCCGGTGAGGGCTGCAAATATGGCGGTGTCGAGACGGAGTAAGTGAGCGGGGGAAGGGATTGGGACAGTCCGGACACTTTAACTCCTGGAAAGAATGGCTTTATTCCCAAGGAAATCAAGCGTTTTGTGTTTTTATCCTCTTCTAGTGTGCTGGACCTTCCTCTTTGTTCTTTATGTCCACGGCAGACTGCTGGAAGCCTGTGAGAAATGGGGCAAATGAAGTAATATAAGAGAGAGCGAAGTTTACTCCACGTTTGAAACGTTATTACTCTACTTTGGGACCCGTTAGAAATGACAGCATTTACTAGAGTGCAATATCACGTACATTGACTTCTTGTTTACATGGCAGGTTGCTGCAACTGAAGCATCCTTACGCTTTTTGTGATGAAAATATGTCTTGAACGTGCACGCGAGCCCTGCGCTTTGTTTAAGTGAGCTGATGAGAGCTGCTGCTGCTAGGCTAACAGTGATAATTGATATGTCCTCTACTCGTTTGGCACGTTTAAACCGTGCATTTTCTACACTTCTACAGAACGACGCGACAAAACCGGGACGCTCTCTTTCCGGAATCAACAAAGTTCCGGGCGTTCAGCTGCGTTGATTAGTTTCGTCGCGTCGCTAGCAGTGCATATGGGGCTCTAGAAGTGCACTTGCTACTTTTTTGCTAATTTAAAAACGTTTTACTCATAAAAAAATTAAGGACTTAAAGAACTATTATTACAACACTCTAGAAATGTCAGTCTTTTAGAAAACGCTGTTTTATATTCTACATACAGCGGGTCGACTTTTCATGGGCGCTGCCATGCAAGTTAAGCGCAAACTCCGCCCCACTGCCAATTCTAGAGATTTCATTGGTTTTAGCATTGTTGAAAGCATACACAATCTTAAAACAAATATGAATGTCTAACCTTAACCATAACATTAGTATAGCATTGGTAGCATAGATAGCATTAAAGGGGTCATATGATGCGATTTACATTTTTCCTTTCTCTTTGGAGTGTTACAAGCTCTTGGTGCATAAAGAAGATCTGTAAAGTTGCAAACACTAGAGTCTCAAAACCAAAGATATATTCTTTATAAAAGTTAAGAGTTAACCACGCCTACCTAAAACGGCTCGTTCTAACACATCCCCACATGTCTACCTCACTATGTGGGAAGATTTGCATAACGCCTCCCAAATGTGCATGCAAAGAAAGAAGGCGTAACTTTTATTCTCGCTGTAGTATTGTTGACGCTGTAGCCATGTCCTGAAGTGCTTCCATGTCCTGAAGTGTCCCTTTTTAACTTTAAACCGCATAAACACATTTCATTACACCAAATACACAAAATAATGTTTTTTTTAGCAGCATCATATGACCCCTTTAAGGGCCGTTCATGCTATAACCATTAAGTTTTAATAATCATTCTAATTCTATGAGATTATGGAAATCACAGCTATAACGATAACCGCACAGAGGAATGATATAGTAGGAATCACTTTCAGAATGTTTTTATTTCCCAGCTGAAAAACATTGACAGCCAATCAGAATCCACATTTAAAGAGCTAAAGCAAACAGAACATAATTGTACATTGAGCTATTATTGTTATAGTTAATGTTCTTGTTGTGAATAGGCCTTTACCATTTTTCTAAACTAAATCTAAGATGATGGGTCATTTATGAATCATTCATTGGTGTCACGTGACAAATGAACGGAAAGCCTCAGGTGAACTAATCATTTGTGTTTCTCCTGATTTATGTTTTGCTGCCTATATAGTTTATAGTTTCTTAATTTGAAATACGATCAAATGAAAAGTTTGAATGTGTGCAGGGAATTTAGTAATTGAAAATATTTTTACATTTTAACACCCGGCCTAAATCACTTCTAAATGACTTGAATTATGATTCATTTATTTTGAATCTTATAGAGTCGCTATCTTCTGATTTTCCCACCACAAATCCATGAAGTCTGAACTTTTCATTGACAGGTTATATTATATTAACAATAATAATACTTTTACAAAGCAAAAACTGATACACAGGTTTGATAAACAGGTTGGTTCAGGTTCTGAACATAAACCTGTCCAAGCTGTGTCCCAGCATGAATCACCAACTCGCAAACAATAATTGCGATTGCATCCAGTAATGTCCGTAGGTATATGTAGTATGAGATGAACAATTTTTTTAGATGTTAATAGCTTGGGCTGCTGTTTTAACCACCATTTGCACCAACAGATCTCCCAGAATACCTCAAAGTCTGGTTTGCACCGGGGAGAAATCTGCGTTCAGGATCAGCACTTAGACTAATAGCGTTCAATACACTGCTTTTTACAGTTAAATTATCCAAGATTTTAGCTCAATATATGAGTTAAGAGAGCAGGGGTGAGGGAGACAAAAACATGTTTGTTCACGTGAATAAATAATTTTCTCTTTTAGTAGCATATGAGCAGAATTGTTTATATGTTTTCAGTGCTGGCCACCTGTGAGCTTGTGTGTGTGTAGTCGATGATTTATTGTTAAATGGAAGTTGTTGTTGCTGTGTTTGCGCTTAAACAGAACATCTGTTAGTGTATATGTTTATGATGACAGCTGTTATTATGATGATGTAGAGTTTTATCATGATGATATAGCGTTTCATTGTGATGGAGCAGTTATTATAATCATAATCATATGGAGTGTTATTGTAATGGCAAATCTGATTTTATGATGAAGTTAAGGATGACCTAATGTAAGATTTGGCCAGTTTTGGGTCAGCTGACCCGACCGTTAATTGTAATCTTATCATGTTAAAGTATGCGCGGTCAGTAGGCTACAGAAGCACCAACTGTGCATGTGCAGGCTGTGTGAAGAAGTCCGTCGCTACCCGCACTTCTACAATCTGTCAACATAACAATATAAAGACAGTAGGGCTGTGCAATTAATCGCATGCGATTGTCATGCGCACCTCGTCAGTAAAGCCGGTTCCGTGATTGGTAGTAAATCGCTGTAGCATTTGGACCAATCAGACACACAACTTTTTGTTATATTTAACAAATAATATCTAATGCCCCCTCACCTAACCAAAGGGCCAATTACGAGGGTCTATGGACCCTTCCCCCGAAATGCACCTAACACCTCAGAAAGGCAGAACAGGCCTCTGGCTCCATGGTAACCAATGCTGATATCACTGGTTTTATTGCCTAAAGGAATGCCGGCAGATAAACTCCCTCATTTTCCTCATAAGGAAGACACATAATGCCCAGAGAAATGGACTGTTCTCTAGTTAATTCATAGGAAAACCGTTATTTGAATGAACACACACATTCTTCAGGCCATTGGGTATATTATTGTCATTGTGTATTTTGTCTTTGATATTTGTAGACTATTTTAGTATGCTTGTGAGGGAACCCATTCCTGATCATCCCTTTTCACTATATGTAACTCTACCATGTCTAGTATCTATGAATTCATCTTCGGATGATCTAACTGAGAGTGCATATGACATGCTGATACCTATGCAACATATTGATGTTCTAAGAATCTTTACTAATTTCTGCATCAACACCCAAGCGAATTACATATGCAAAATACCATGCTTAGAAACAAAGGGCCATAAAAACGGGAATTGACAAGACAGTTGACCCTGAGAGGTCAGCTAAATATCTACAGCGGATTTAAAATATGAATAGTTAATTATAACTAGTTATGGTTAATTATTCATATTTCCCCATGAGCTGATTCGCTACATCGCCATCACCTGCTTTCAGACGGAGCAGCATTTACTACAGATCCGTAGTTCACTGACAAGCTAGGCAATATCGCGTTCATAATCGAATGCGATTCATCTGCGATTATGAACGCGATATTGCCTAATTGTCAATGAACTACGGCTCTGTGTAGTAAATGCTGCTCCGTCTGAAAGCAGGTGATGGAGATTTACTACTAATCACGGAACCGGCTTTACTGACGAGATGTGCATGACAATAGCATGCGATTAATTGCACAGCCCTAAAAGACAGCCAGATGTGCAATAACTCTGGGCAATTGTTTGTTCACATGTTTGTTTACTGTTGAAGCCGATCTACTGTGCATATATGGAACACGTCCGGATTGCGCACGCGGAAACTATAACACAGACTTTGCATTTGCTAATGTTGTACATGTGTTGTCATGCTTTACAAATGTAGGCTACATTTTAGTTTTCTATGTATTGAATATTTATTGCAAATGTTGCAAATTTTGTTAACTTAAATGTCACCAAGGATAAATTTATCTAACTGGCTGTGGAAGAGGTTTTGCCAAAATAACAAACATTTGTGAAAATATCAGAAGCATCAGTTAGAATGGTTTGAAAATTATAAATCACTATATGTTTCCAGCAAAAATGTGTTTAATTTACGTCTGTAATGACTGAGTTTACATAATTTAATTTTCAGATGTTATAGCTAAAACTAATAAAATTGGTCATTATTTAATTGTTTCTATAAAATAGTTTCTAGTATTGTTTATTTATAATAGCAAATTATTAATAACGGATAAATTATAAATCATAAATTACTTTTTATTTTTGCGACATTTATATGAAAATCATATATATTATAACAATTAAGTAAAAAATATAAATATATTTTTACATGATACAAAAAATTATGGGGTTGGATAAACTGCATGGAAAACAGAAAAAAAAAGGATTGGATTACTTGTAAATTATTATGATATTTTTATCAGTTGTTTGGACTCTCATTCTGACGGCACCCATTCACTACAGAGGATCCACTGGTGAGCAAGTGATGTAATGATATTGAGCCCCGCTTGTGAATTTTGGAGCTTTATTATAATAATAGCTAATATTATGCTGATTTGGAGTGCTGTTATTGTGAGGATAAGTCAGTATGATGATTTGGTGTGTGTAGAGTGTTGTTGAGATGATTTAGCTGGTATTGTGATGGTGTGGAGTGTAGTTGAGAGAATGTTGCTGTTTTGACGTTGCT